ATATCCTATCAGCTGGCAGCCCAGTGACCATGTCAGTAGGGCGTGTGCGCCATCATGGTCTGAGATATCCTATCAGCTGGCAGCCCAGTGACCGTGTCAGTACAGTGTGTGCACCATCATTGTCTGAGATATCCTATCAGCTGGCAGCCCAGTGACCGTGTCAGTACAGCGTGTGCGCCATCATTGTCTGAGATATCCTATCAGCTGGCAGCCCAGTGACCGTGTCAATACAGTGTGTGCGCAATCATGGTCTGAGATATCCTATCAGCTGGCAGCCCAGTGACCGTGTCAGTACAGCGTGTGCGCCATCATTGTCTGAGATATCCTATCAGCTGGCAGCCCAGTAACCGTGTCAGTACAGCGTGTGCGCCATCATTGTCTGAGATATCCTATCAGCTGGCAGCCCAGTGACCGTGTCAGTACAGCGTGTGCGCCATGATTGTCTGAGATATCCTATCAGCTGGCAGCCCAGTGACCATGTCAGTAGGGCGTGTGCGCCATCATGGTCTGAGATATCCTATCAGCTGGCAGCCCAGTGACCGTGTCAGTACAGTGTGTGCACCATCATTGTCTGAGATATCCTATCAGCTGGCAGCCCAGTGACCGTGTCAGTACAGCGTGTGCGCCATGATTGTCTGAGATATCCTATCAGCTGGCAGCCCAGTGACCATGTCAGTAGGGCGTGTGCGCCATCATGGTCTGAGATATCCTATCAGCTGGCAGCCCAGTGACCGTGTCAGTACAGTGTGTGCACCATCATTGTCTGAGATATCCTATCAGCTGGCAGCCCAGTGACCGTGTCAGTACAGCGTGTGCGCCATCATTGTCTGAGATATCCTATCAGCTGGCAGCCCAGTGACCGTGCCAGTACAGCGTGTGCGCCATCACGGTCTGAGATATCCCATCAGCTGGCAGCCCAGACCGCAGGTCAGTAGTGTGCGCACCATCATGTCTGACATATCCTATCAGCTGGCGTTTCTCCAGTGACGGTCAGTACAGTGCGTGCACCATCATGATCTGAGATATCCTATCATCAGCCAGCAAGCTCAGTGACGCGTCAGTGGTTGTAAAGGCGGTGCAATTCATCACTGCTCCGCGGCGTATCCTATCAGCTGGCGTCGTGCGACGGTCAGTACAGCTGCGAAAATTCATCACTGTCCGCGCGCATATCCTATCAGCTGGCAGCCCAGTGACTGTGTCAGTACAGCGTGTGCGCCATCATTGTCTGAGATATCCTATCAGCTGGCAGCCCAGTGACCGTGTCAGTACAGCGTGTGCGCCATCACTGTCTCAAATATCCTATCAGCTGGCAGCCCAGTGACCGTGTCAATACAGTGTGTGCGCCATCATTGTCTGAGATATCCTATCAGCTGGCAGTCCAGTGACCGTGTCAGTACAGCGTGTGCGCCATGATTGTCTGAGATATCCTATCATCTGGCAGCCCAGTGACCATGTCAGTAGGGCGTGTGCGCCATCATTGTCTGAGATATCCTATCAGCTGGCAGCCCAGTGACCGTGTCAATACAGTGTGTGCGCCATCACGGTCTGAGATATCCTATCAGCTGGCAGCCCAGTGACCGTGTCAGTACAGCGTGTGCGCCATCATTGTCTGAGATATGCTATCAGCTGGCATCCCAGTGACCGTGTCAGTACAGCGTGTGCGCCATCACTGTCTCAAATATCCTATCAGCTGGCAGCCCAGTGACCGTGTCAGTACAGCGTGTGCGCCATCATTGTCTGAGATATCTTATCAGCTGGAAGCCCAGTGACCGTGTCAGTACAGCGTGTGCGCCATCATTGTCTGAGATATCCTATCAGCTGGCAGCCCAGTGACCGTGTCAGTACAGCGTGTGCGCCATCATTGTCTGAGATATCCTATCAGCTGGCAGCCCAGTGACCGTGTCAATACAGTGTGTGCGCAATCATGGTCTGAGATATCCTATCAGCTGGCAGCCCAGTGACCGTGTCAGTAGGGCGCAGCGCCTATCATGGTCTGAGATATCCCTATCAGCTTAAGCAGCCCAGTGACCGCGGTCAGTACAGTGCGTGTGCACCATCATTGTCTTCGAGATATCCTATCAGCTGGCGGTGCCCAGGACCGTCAGTACAGTGTGTGCGCCCATCATTGTCTGAGATATCCTATCAGCTAGCAGCCCAGTGACCGTGTCAATACAGTGTGTGGCGCAATCATGGTCTGCTACATCCCATCAGCTGGCAGCCCAGTGACCGTGTGTCAGTACAGCGCAGCGCCCATCATTGTCTGAGTAGATATCCCATCAGCTGGCAGCCCAGTGACCGTCAAAGGCTGGAAGCGCGGTAGCGCCATCATTGTCTGAGATATCCTATCAGCTGGCAGCCCAGTGACCGTGTCAGTACAGTGTGTGCGCCATCACGGTCTGAGATATCCTATCAGCTGGCAGCCCAGTGACCGTGTCAGTACAGCGTGTGCGCCATCATTGTCTGAGATATGCTATCAGCTGGCAGCCCAGTGACCGTGTCAGTACAGTGTGTGCGCCATCACTGTCTCAGATATCCTATCAGCTGGCAGCCCAGTGACCGTGTCAGTACAGCGTGTGCGCCATCATTGTCTGAGATATCCTATCAGCTGGCAGCCCAGTGACCGTGTCAATACAGCGTGTGCGCCATCATGGTCTGAGATATCCTATCAGCTGGCAGCCCAGTGACCGTGTCAGTACAATGTGTGCACCATCATGGTCTGAGATATCCTATCAGCTGGCAGCCCAGTGACGTGTCAGTACAGTGTGTGCACCATCATGGTCTGAGATATCCTATCAGCTGGCAGCCCAGTGACGTGTCAGTACAGCGTGTGCACCATCACTGTCTGCGATATCCTATCAGCTGGCAGCCCAGTGACGTGTCAGTACAGCGTGTGCACCATCACTGTCTGCGATATCCTATCAGCTGGCAGCCCAGTGACGTGTCAGTACAGCGTGTGCACCATCATTGTCTGAGATATCCTATCAGCTGGCAGCCCAGTGACCGTGTCAGTACAGCGTGTGCACCATCACTGTCTGCGATATCCTATCAGCTGGCAGCCCAGTGACAGTGTCAGTACAGCCTCTCTCACACCGAGCTCTCTCACACGCCGAGCTCTCTCACACACCGAGCTCTCTCACACACCGAGCTCTCTCACACACCGAGCTCTCTCACACACCGAGCTCTCTCTCTCACACCGAGCTCTCTCTCACACCAAGCTCTCTCTCACACCAAGCTCTCTCTCTCACACCAAGCTCTCTCTCACACCGAGCTCTCTCTCACTGTCTATGGAAGTAGGGTAGCGGCTAGTTCCTATCCAGTAGAAGGACCCTGGTGACATCACCAGACCATGTGACTGCTTGGTCACATTGTACAGAGAGCTACAGGAAGCAGCAAAGCGGGAAATCCCAATGAATGGGATGGACTGAGCTGTGCTGATCTCCTGCTGCTGGTGGTGGTGGGAGAGACTTTACAAATCATCTTATTATACATGACAGCCTGGGAGCAGCCTGAACACGGAGAATATTACACAGACTGAACACGGAGAATATTACACAGACTGAACAAGGAGAATATTACACAGACTGAACATGGAGAATAATACACAGACTGAACACGGAGAATATTACACAGACTGAACACGGAGAAT